GAGAACTTTCTATGTATGGGCACAATTCTAACCATTTTTCATGAGCATTAACACAGCCTTGAATTTTTCTGTTTTGCAGATGCAAAAACCAAGGCACAAAGAAGTTAAGGTCACACCAGGATTCAAACCTACTCTGGTTCCAGGTGCCACACTCTTACCCACTGCGATATACTGCCTCCTAAGTAGTTGAGAGATGTACAAGGTCTGGCCCTTGCAGAGCAATGTAACTAGCAGCTATAGACAGTGCTGGGAAGTAGAAGCATTGGGGATTGTGGAAGCATGGAGAGATAGGATTTAACAAAGCCTCGGGAGTCAAAGAAGAATGAACAGCTAGCCAGAAGAGGTCAGTGAGGTCCAGGAAAGAAAGCAGTATTTCTAGGCAGAGAGGCTAGCACTTAGAAATGCCCGAGGTGATGAACTAATGAGGTTTTGGAAGTGCTGGAAGTTCAATAGGGGAAACAGTGAGTGAGACTTCTGATTTCTCTTAATGATGGACTAAGTTATTTTGTCTGTGTGTGAATCCTCCTGCTGCAAAAAGCCAAAATTTCTGGATAAAATACAAGCAAAAATATTTCTGGAAGCATTCAAGAACTGACAAATTATTAAAAATGTTATCAGGCCAAAAGCAAAGATAAACAAGAATTCAGGGAGAAATGGAGCACAAATGCCTGGAAACCACATTTGATCTAATGGCAAACCACATTTGATTCTAGCCAATCAGACCTTACCCTATGTTGAATGGGACAGAATCAAAACCCAGAGCCCACATACAATGAATAGACTGTTAAATGTTTCCCATAAAAAGCTGGCATGCCAAAGGGCTGTCGTTTGCAGAATAAAAGAGGTGATCAGAAATCAGATCCTCCTGGGGATTTGCAGCCTGGGAGCTCAGGAAAATTCAAGCCTTGAACCTGGCTTAAGATGATCCTGTACTAATGATGCCTCCAGAAGTATGATAGAAGTGAATGAAATCACTTTTTGGAGGCAGGGACTTTTTTTTTTTTTTTTTTTTTTTTAAATCTCCCCTGTTACTTCTACATTTTTTCCCCCCTGCAAAGATACAATTATGTTTTTAAAGCACACCAGAAAAGTTACTATAGGTGAGAACCAACAGGAATAACAAACTGATTCTCAAAGACTAGATACTTGAATTATAAGATACTATAAAATGTTCATGGTTACTATTCTCAAAGAAATGATAAACTTGAAAATAGAGGGAACAAGAAATGGCAGCAAGCAAAAGAACAGAAGCTTCAGGGAGAATTAGTGAACTGGAAGATAGAAATTATCCATGCACATAAATTTAACAAATGGTCCAATTTCTCAAAAATCATAAGCTACCAAAATTCACCTGATATGAAATAGATAATCTGAATAGTCCTATAATTATTTAAGAAACTAAATTTGTAATGGAGAAAGCTTCCAGGGGTGCCTGGGTGGCACAGTTGGTTAAATGTTGGACTCTTGGTTTTGGCTCAGGTCATGATCTCAGGGTCGTGAGATGGAGCCCCATGTCAGGCTCCGTGCTCAGCCTGGAGTCTGCTTCAAGTTGTCTCTCCCTCTCCCCCTAGTGCTCTCTCTTTCTCTCTAAAATAATTAAAAATAAAAGGCTTCCAAAAAGAAATGTTTAGGTTCAGAGGTGATGGTGTCACTGAAAAAGCCTATCAAATTTTAAGAAGAATTAGCACTATTCTATACCATCTCTGCCAGAGATTAGAATATTGGGCAGTACCTTCTTAACTCATTTTATAAGGGCAGTATTACTTTGATATCAAAGCCAAATAGGATAGTACCAAAAAAAAAAAAAGAAAAAGGGGGAAGAAGAAACAACAAAAACCCTACAGACCAATATCCCAGAAATTTAGTCACAAAAATTCTGGAATTAGCAAATTGAATCCAGCATATATAAAAAGAATTAGGCAACATGACCAAGTGAGGTTTATTCCAGATATCCAAGACTGGTTTAACATACGGGAAGAAATCTATATAATCCACTATCCCAAGAGGCTAGAGGAAAAATGATCATGTCAGTTGGTACAGAAAAAAGCATTTGACAAAATTCAATACATATTCGTGATAAAACCTATCAGTAAACCAAAAGTAGAGGGGAACTTCCTCAATAAAGAGCATCTACAAAAATCCTACAGCTAATGGTGAAAGACTAAATACGTTCCTTCTAAGATAGGGAAGGAGTCAAGAATGTCTACTGTGACCATTCTTATTCAATGTAGAACTGGAAGTCCTAGCCAGCACAGTAAGGCAAGAAAAAGAAATAAAAAGCATATAGATTGGAAGGCGGGGGGGGGGACCCAAAACCAACAACCCTTATTTGCAGATGAAATGATTGTCTATGTAAAAAATCCTAAGGAATCGGCAATAAAACCCTTCTAGAATTAATAAGGGAGTTCAGCAAGATTTCAGGTTACAAGGACAATACACAAGAGAAATTATCTAGAATGCAGCAGAGAGACAAAAAGATGGGAAACAGTGGGTAAAAAAAATAGAGATTATGTTCAATTTGAGTTCCAGAAGGAGAGAGGAAAATGAGGCAGAGGAGTACCTAAAGAAAAAGCTGAAAATTTCTCAGCTAGTGGAAGATACCAATCTACAGATTGTACAAACCCAAAGACTTCAAGGTGGAAAAAAAATTAAATATGAAGAAAAAATCCCGCTCATGATCGTGGAATTACAGAAAGAGAAGTAACCAAGAGCCAAATGAAAACCAAGTTAACGATGCCGGACTTAATGATAAAAACGAATGTTTGCCCTGGCCCGAGCCCGAGTCCTGGCCTCTCATCTTACTCTCCGAACAGCATGAGCTTCACCACCCACTCCACCTTCTCTTCCAACTATCGGTCCCTGGGCTCCATGCAGTCGCCCAGCCACCGGGTCTGGCCCGTCAGCAGCGCGGCCAGCGTCTATGCAGGCGCCGGAGGCTCAGGCTCCCGGATCTCCGTATCCCGCTCCACCAGCTTCCGGGGCTGCTGGGGGTCCGGAGGCCTGGCCACGGGGTTGGCCGCTGGGATGGCGGGGGGTCTGGCCGGCATAGGGGGCATGCAGGGCGAGAAAGAAACCATGCAAGACCTGAATGACCGCCTGGCCTCCTACCTGGAGAGGGTGAGGAGCCTGGAGGCAGATAATCAGAGACTGGAGGTGAGAATCCGGGAACACCTGGAGAAGAAGGGACCCCAGGTCAGAGACTGGGGGCATTACTTCAAGACCATCGAGGAGCTGAGGTCTCAGATTTTTGCAAGTTCTGTGGACAATGCCTGCATCGTTCTGCAGATTGACAATGCCCGTCTTGCTGCTGATGACTTCAGAGTCAAGTATGAGACGGAACTGGCCATGTGCCAGTCCGTGGAGAGTGACATCCACAGGCTCCGCAAGGTCATCGATGACACCAATGTCACTAGGCTGCAGCTGGAGACAGAGATTGAGGCTCAAGGAGGAGCTGCTCTTCATGAAGAAGAACCATGAGGAGGAAGTAAAGGGTCTACAGAACCAAATTGCCAACTCTGGGTTGACCGTGGAGTTGGATGCCCCCAAGTCTCAGGACCTCAGCAAGATCATGGCAGACATCCGGGCCCAGTATGACGAGCTGGCTCGGAAGAACCGAGAGGAGCTGGACAAGTACTGGTCCCAGCAGATTGAGGAAAGCACCACAGTGGTCACCACACAGACCACGGAGATAGGAGAGGCTGAGATGACCCTCACGGAGCTGAGACGTACCGCCCAGTCCTTGGAGATCAACCTGGACTCGATGAGAAACCTGAAGGCCAGCTTAGAGAACAGCCTTAGGGAGGTCGAAACCCGCTACACCATGCAGATGGAGCAGCTCAACGGGGTCCTGCTGCACCTGGAGTCTGAGCTGTCCCAGACCCGGGCAGAGGGGCAGCGCCAGGCCCAGGAGTAGGAAGACCTGTTGAATGTCAAGGTCAAGCTGGAGGCTGAGATCACCACCTACCGTCGCCTGCGGGAAGATGGGGAGGACTTCAATCTCAGTGATGCCCTGGACAGCAGCAGCTCCATGCAGACCATCCAGAAAACCACTACCCGCAGGATTGTGGACGGCAAGGTCGGGTCGGAGACCAATGACACCAAAGTTCTGAAGCATTGAGGGAGCAGAAGCAGGGTACCCTTTGGGGAGCAGGAGGCCAATAAAAAGTTCCAAGGTCAAAAAAACCAAAAAAACAAAAAAAACAAAAACGAATGTTTGCACGATCCTTATTACTTGCCAAGCCCGTAGGCGAAGTGATTTACTCCTCAGGACAATTGTAGGGATAAAAAGTACTGTTATTCCCTCCATTTTACAGATGAGGAAGTTGAGACGAATGAAATTCAGTTACTTGTGCAAAATGGCACAGCGTAGCAATGGTAGAGGTAAGATTTTGAACAAGGTAGTTCCGGCTTAGGTTTGTGACCTTAACTGCTGCACAAACTTGTCTCTCTCAAGGGCAATAGGAAGCCATCTAAAGGTTTTAACCAGAGGAGTGACCCCACATTTGCTTTCCAAACACCAATCATCCTGGCTCCACTGTGAATAAGGATCAAATAGAGCTAAGGGTGGAAAGGGGTCTGTGGGAATAAGGGAGCCAAAAATAGGGAGGGCCTGGATGAGGCGGGTGGTGGCAGACAAAAGCCAGTGGACTGCGGGCTCTTCCGGAGGCTAGTCCTCGGGACCCGGCTTTATGGGGCAGAGGAGATCGACGATGATATTCACGTTTCTGACTCGGGCAATTCGGCGGAGAGGTCAAGTCATTCACCGAGGTGACCTGGGAGGAGCCTGGCTTTGGACAAGGTGAATTTGGGGTGTCTGTGACGCACAGCCGGCCGCCGAGGAGCCGCGAGCGGCTAGGACGCAGTGCGGGGCGCATCACCGACAGGTCCAGGAGAGGCGCGCGCGAACCCGAGAGCCCCCAGCGCTGCGGCGCGCGGCGCGGCGCCCGGCTCCGGAAACCGCGCGCGCAGGCGCAGTGCGGCGCGGGCGCCCCCTGGCGGGCGGCGGCGCACAGGGACCGCCCCCAGCCTGGCGCCGCCGCCGCCGCCCGCCTCAGCCCAACATGGCGATGCACAACAAGGCGGCGCCGCCGCAGATCCCGGACACCCGGCGGGAGCTGGCGGAGCTCGTGAAGCGGAAGCAGGAGCTGGCGGTGAGGGACCGGGCGCGGGGGCGCTCGGTGCGGGCTCCGCGCCCTCCCCTGCCTCCAGGCCTCGGCCCGATCGCGCCAGGCCGTTATTCCCCCGGCGCAACGGGGCGGCCGGGAGCCCGGCGGCCTGAGGCCGGCTGCGCGTTCCGCGGCCCGCCGACCGCACGGCTTGCCGGCTGCGCAGCTCCGGAGCCGGGGCGCCAGGGCAGGGGCCTGGGCTGGGGGGGCGGGGCACGGAGCGGGGGAGGGGAAAGGGGCCGGTGCCGGCGGGGGCGTGGAGGAGGGATGGCGCCTGGGCTGGGGGCTTCTGTATGGAAGCTCGAGGAAGGCGAGTTTCTCTGAGCTTTGGGAATGGGGGCGGTTGTGCCCTTGGCTTTTGCGGGGTGGGTGAGGGCGGGCAGGTCTGTGGTCTTTGAGGGGTGGGTTCGGGAGTGTCTGGGGGGCCGTAAGCCACCTGTTCGGGCTTGCCAGTGGGCTGAGGAGGTGGGGTAGGGGGCGAGTGTGGGATGGGTACCCAGTCATCCAGTCTGGCCTTTGGAGGATGGAGGGGCGCGTGTCCTTTTGAGGACTAGGAGATGCGTTGGATGGGGTTTTTGACGGGCATGGCTGTGATGTTTTGGGGAACATCTAGAAGGTGACAGACGAGGGGAAAGGACTCAGTCCAGGGAATTGAGAACTGTGACATGCACCCAGGGTTCCAGGCACCCTGGTGGCCACCCCCTCCCCCCCGCGTTTAGGCTTGGGCCCCGGGGAGGGCCATGTCACCTGAAGCTGCCCTTCCAGGTTTCCATGGCAACTGACAGCCCATTGCCGGCCTTCTCAGTGCCTGCGGGGAGGGGAGCGAGTCGGCGCTGGAAGGCTGCTCACCCTTTCCTCTCCCCAGTAGCAGTACCTTGGTGCGTGGGAGTGGAGACTGCTCACGTTCTGCCTGAGGTGGGGGGGTGTTCTTGACAGGCTTTTCCACGAGCCCTCCGAAGTATATGCAGAATTTTGCAAATTTTTTCAGAGACAGGCCTGTACCTTCCCTTCTGTTCTTGAAGGACTCCAACAAGACAGGTCTAAGGTCTAGACTGTCTTAGACTAAAATAGCCTTCCTCTCCCCATGTCTTGTCTTTCCAACTGGGGTGGCTTAGTGTAGTGGAGCTCGAGAATGTCTAAGGCTGATATTCAGAGTTTGGTTTGGTCAGAGTTAACTTTTGCATTTAAAAGGCATTATCCATTTCCTTGTTTTTCATCTCCCAGGAAACACTGGCAAACTTGGAGAGACAGATCTATGCCTTTGAAGGAAGCTACCTGGAAGACACTCAGATGTATGGCAATATTATTCGTGGCTGGGATCGGTATCTGACCAACCAGAAGTGAGTGTCAGAAGCCTGTGGTGTTGGCATTGTGCCCTACTGATTGTTTTTTGGACTGTGTTCTTGCTAGCAACCTGGCAGGGGGCAGTAGTAGAGTGGTGGTGTAGAAAGCCGTGTGGGGTTCAGCTTGGACTCTGGCTCAGCCTCTGCCTCACAGAGTAACTGTGGACAAATCCTAACATCTGGGAAATGGGGAAAGTCGAGCCCCTGGAACAGGGTTGTGTGAGGCATAAACAAAGTGCAGCAAATGACAGTACCTGACATATCACTGTGTGAGTGTTTTCCATTTTTTTTACTCAGTCACGAGTTTGACCTTTATAAGATTTGCCACACCTGTGTGCCAACCATACCACAATTTTATTTAGTAATAACTATTCTTGAAAACTGCCCAAGCTTTTCGAAAATTTTCAAATTTGGAGACACTTCAAGTTGAAATAGTATTGTGCACACTTGATACCCTTCACCTGCATTCATCAGTCGTTACCATGTTGCCACATTTGCTTTCTCTCTAATGTATATAAACAGACACACACCTGTAGCTCTACTTAAAATTTTTAGAGGCACCTGGGGGGCTCTGTCCGTTAAGCGTCCATCTCTTGATTTCTGCTCATGATCTCAGGGTTGTGGGATCGACCCCCAAGGCGGGGCTCTATGCCCGGTGTGGAGCCTGCTTAAGATTCTTTCTCTCTCTTTTCTGCCCCTGCCCCCTCCTTTCTTTTTTTTTTTTTTTCTTTTTTTTTTTTAATTTATTTGACAGAGAGAGATCACAAGCAGGCAGAGAGGCAAGCAGAGAGAGAGGAGGAAGCAGGCTCCCTGCTGAGCAGAGAGCCCGATGCGGGGCTCGATCCCAGGACCCTGAGATCATGACCTGAGCCGAAGGCAGCGGCTTAACCCACTGAGCCACCCGGGCGCCCCTGCCCCCTCCTTTCTAAAAAAATTTTTTTAAAAATTTTGATATAATTACAGATACATAGGAAGTTGCAGCAATATTAAGAGTCCCATGTACCCGTCACCCAGTCTTCCCCAGTGGTTGGGTCTTATGTAACTGTAGTAGAATATCAAACTCAGGAAACTGACATTGGTACAATGTGTATGTGTAGTTCTGCCACTGTGTGTAGATTCCTGTAAGCACCACTGCAGTCAAGATACAAAAGTGCTGGGGTGCCTGGGTGGCTCAGTTGTTAAATGTCTGCCTTCGGCTCAGGTCATGGTCCCAGGGTCCTGGGATCAAGCCCCAAATTGGGCTCCCTGCTCAGCGGGAAGCCTGCTTCTCCCTCTCCCACTCCCCCCGCTTGTGTTCCCTCTTGCTGTGTCTCTATCAAATAAATAAATAAAATCTTTAAAAAAAAAAAAAGATACAGAAGTGTTTGATCACCACAAAGATTTCCTGCCTACTACCCCTTTATAGTTATATTTTCCCTCCCCCCCCTTTTTTTGGCCAATCATTTAAGCAGAGCATGACACTTTGCCCATAATTATGTCAGCAGTTACCTCCTAAGAATATTTTTCTTACCTAACCACAATTATCACACATAGAAAATTAGCGTTACACTAATGGTATCACCTACTGTAGTCTATTCAGTTTCCCCAAATTGTCCCCAACATTCTTTGCTGCCTTGTTTTGATCATCGGGTGTTCATGCATTGTATTTGGCTGTTACTACTCTTTCATCTCTTCATTTAGGAGAGTCTCCTACCCTTTTTGGTGGCGAAGTTCATGACATTGTCTTACAGAATGCCTCAATTCCAGATTTTTCTGTTTGTGGCCTCCTGAGAGATCCTTTAAGGATTTTTGGCAAAAATGTTACATAAGTGACTTGTATGCCTGGTGTCTCATTTACCTCTTTTTGATTGGGAGGCATATAATGTCATATTGTCCCATTACTGGTACGACGTTTGAGCATATGATTTCTCCCTTGTAAAAATTCATTTTTCTCTCTTTGTGATCGGGGACTCTACTTTTAGACGGTGTGAATATATTGCTCCTCCAGGTTTTTATTCAGTGTTTTAATATCCACTGTTGATTTTTACCTGACTCAATATACTGCTGATTCTGATCCTTGTATGTGGACTACTGGCATTTGGAAGGAAGAATCTTCCCTTCATATCTTCTCTCCCTTTCGTTCTCTATCTCTGGCCCTCTCTTTTTAGTATCACTAGAGACCAGTGGATTAAAAAAAAAAAAATCAGTGTGTTGGAATGGAGTGCTGTCACTTTTTTACTGTAGAGGCATATTTTTTACTCTGAACTTACTGAAATATACACAGAGAAGTGTGACCATCATTATCCTTTCAGTGCTTGGTTTGCCCTACATGTAGACAGAGGGAGCCTCCTTTGCCTTTTTGACATGACCCTTTAATCTTCGAGCATTTTGTTGCTTTCTGTCCCAACAAGGTGTCTTAGACTCACCTTAGCCTTTTCTTATCCCAGAACTGATACCAAACACTTCCTTAAGGAACTCTGATTTGTCCTTTGAAGTTTTTTTAAGGATTTTATTTTTTTAAGTTGTCTCTAAACCCAGTGTGGGGCTCAAACTCACAACCCCGGAGAGCAACAGTCGCATGTTCCCCTGAGCCAGCCAGGTTGCCCCATGTTCATTAAATTTTTTCAGTTAAGCTTATGTGACAAACATTTCATACCACTAGTCTCTGCTAGTTGTTTTTAATAAGTATCAATATGAATACATATTAAAAATACAGTGACTGGGAACCAAGCAAGTAATGTCCCACAGTGGAGCCCCTGCCATATATTGGAAACTGTTGGTGTCTGTGTAGGCATTCAGCATAAAGGTCATTTTGGTCAATCCAAACGGTGTTGGAGGCATTTCCATCTGAAAGTTGGTAATTTAAAAAAGAGAGACAGTGAGAGAGAGAGTTCCTTACATAGGCCTGGGCTGTCCTCAGCTTGAGCCATAGATACAGCTTGGTGCTTACAAGTTTCTTGTGTGTGTTTTAGAAACTCCAATAGCAAAAACGATCGAAGGAACCGGAAGTTTAAGGAAGCTGAGCGGCTCTTCAGTAAATCCTCAGTTACTTCAGCAGCTGTAAGTGAGGTGGGGGGAGCTTTCCTGTGGCCCATCTCGGAGGAACACCTCAGTTAAATTTCTGCGCGTTTTCTCTTTCCCAGCTGTCTGAGTGCGCTGTGGAGGTCTGTGATAATTTTTCTAGTAACAGGTGGTTTTTTTCTTTTAGGCAGTAAGTGCGTTGGCAGGAGTTCAGGATCAGCTCATTGAAAAGAGTAAGTCTATTTTTTTACTTTTTTATTACTTAATTTTTAAGCCACAATAACCCTTATATTTAACTCCTGTTCAACCTAGAAGTTAGGAATCCTTTTGAGTCTCCTTAATCATGTCTTTTTTCCTCTTTTTTTTTTTGAGGAGGAAACCATGTCCCTCCTGCCTCATCTGTCATGAGAGGTTGACTCTGGTTGCTCAAAGACACAAAGATATGTCTTCCTTGCTGATAAGTGTTAGGGAGTTTTTTTGTTTTGTTTCATTTGTTTGTTTAATTTAAAAAGAAAACCTTTTATCATGGAAAAGTTCAGACATATATGATAAATCTCCATGTCCCCAGTTTAATAATTCTTAGGAGAATCTCATCCTGGGAACAGAATGTACCTATGTGTTCTTAAATATAAAACGCAGAGTAGATAGTATTTACTTCGTAAAGAAATTGTATCATTCTCTGTAGGTAAGCCATATAGTCTAATTCTATTCTAATGTCTAGTGATGGGATATAGATCGTACAGTTATTTATCTGAGTCAGACTCTATGGAGCTATCTGTGTTGGACACTGCCTGTGCACTGGGCCACTCTGAAACATAACCTGCTTTTTTTGTATTTTGGCTGTGTGCTTCTTTCAGGTGGTTTTTTTTTTTTTTTAAGATTTTATTTGTTTACTTGACAGAGAGATCACAAGTAGACAGAGAGGCAGGCAGAGAGAGGGAGAAGCAGGCTCCCCACCAAGCAGAGAGCCAGATGCAGGGCTCGATCCCAGGACCCTGAGATCATGATCAGGTGGTCTATCTTGTGGGATCCCGTTGTATTTGCACTGGGCCAGTGATTTGAGGAAAATCCACTTTGGTAGTTTGGGAATTAGAACTACTCAGTGACTTTGATTTTTATCTCTGTGTACAGATTTCTAAATATCTAGAAAATTCTGGAAAATGTCTTCTAGTCATTTCTGCTCGGGTATTCAAGCTCACACCTTTTATCTAAAATCGAATTGTTCTGTTTTTTTCAAAACTTGTCTGCTCAGTTTTTCTGTTACAGTACTTCTGTTCTCCCTCATTCATCCCTGAAGGCATCTTTGATTCCTTTCTGCCAACCAATCAATTATACCGAGTCCTTTTGATTTTTCTTTTACTCTGGCTTAAATAAGTTAAATCTTCTTTTCAGTGAATTGCCACTTGTAGAATGTAGCGCTAGTATTGTCTGCTTTCTGAGTCATAAGACTGGTTAAGGAACACCCTGGACCTCGCTTGTGTGAGTTGAAATGGAATGATGTCTGACTCCTTAGTTTTCACGAAAAGCCCATAATCCTCCTCCTGGCCTGGTGGGTGGTTCAGCATCTGGCTTTGGTCTTAACTACCCACACAGAATGGCTGCGCCTAGATACTCGTGAGGAGATGAGTCTTAAAACCTCAGCTTGCAGAAGCTTGGCTGAGATAAGCACTTACGTATTGAAGGTTTTCTGAAGCAGGTGTAGGCCTTCCGTTCCCCTGAGATCTTCCCCTTGATTTGAGCCACGTCCCTGGCATATGTCAGAGTGGTATTTCTTGGTCTTCCCTATCATGTTGCATTTGATGAATTATATTTTGGTCCTGTTAAATATGCTACTGTATTTATTGTAAGAGAATGTTATAGATGTTTACTATCATTACTAATTATTATGATTTTTAGGAATAGTTGCTTTCCCTGAGGGGACTCTGGGTGGCTCAGTTGGTTGAGCCTCTGCCTCTTGATTTCGGCTCCGGTCATGGTCTTGGGGTGGTGAGATCGAGCCCACTCAGCTGGGAGTCTGATTCTCTCCCTCCCCCTCTCCCCTCCCCCCACTCGCACACATGCACACTCTGTCTCTCTTCTCTCAAATAAATAAATAAATCTTAAAAAAAAAAAGGAATAGTTATTTTCCTTGAACAGCTGGTTGGTTTTTACTGAATATCTGGTAATGGACTGTTTCTTTGTGCAGGTGCTCGAATGTTTAGTGGTTCTCTTCTAGCAAGGAAGTAAAAATGTATAGCGTGCATTTGGGGAATGAATCTTAGTGTTGCATCCAGCTTACTTAAGTCTTCTGTTCCTCTTTGTTTTACTTGTCTCATTTTAAGTTGATTTTGTTATATGAATCTTGGTAAACTGCTTTGAATTCTTTTTAGAATAGAGAATTACGTAAATACTGGAGTGTATCACTTCAAATGGTCAGAGCCCCTTTAAAGTAATTCTGTTGGGTTCTGTCTGTTCTGTCTCACTACCTGTCATTACTGTTTCCTCCTGCTGTTCTTTTGGGAGGGGGGCGCAGAGGGAGAGAGAATCTCAAGCAGACTCCCTGCTGAGCACAGAGTCCAACATGAGGCTCGGTCTCAAAAACCTGAGATCATGACCTGAGCCAAAATCAAGGGTCAGATGCTTAACCGACTGAGAAACCCAGGTGCCCCCTTACTGCTATTTTTTTAGTTTATTTTCATCTTGATTTTTTTGTAGTCACCTACAGTGTGTCTAAGTATGAAAGAATGAATTTTTTTTTTAAGATTTTATTTATTTGACAGAGGGAGAGATCACAAGTAGGCAAAGAGGCAGGCAGAGAGGGGGGAAGCAGGCTCCCTGCTGAGCAGAGGGCCTGATGTGGGGCTCGATCCCAGGACCCTGAGACCATGACCTGAGCCGAAGGCAGAGGCCTAACCCACTGAGCCACCCAGGAGCCCCTATGTATGAATTTCTTTGTAATTATCTGATTGGGTTTCATTGGACCTCTTGAAATGGTGCCTTGGTATTTTTCATCAGTTCTGGAAATTCCCAGCTATTACCTCTTCATATACTGCATTTGCTCTGAGCTCTCTCCCATCTCTTCCCCTTCTCTGCTTACATGTATGTTAAACTTTCTCTTTGTATCCTTTATGTCTTTTATTAGCCTTTCCATGTCTTGTCTTTGCCCCTGGGCCGCCCGCCAGTTCACAAATCTTTCAGTTGAATCTGATTTGCTGTTAAACCTTTCCTTGATTTTTTGGGGGTACCTGGGTGGCTCAGTTAGTTAAGCAGCTGCCTTTGGCCCAGGTCATGATCCCAGGGTTCTGGGATCAAGCCACATATCGGCCTCCTTGCTCGGAGCCTGCTTCTCCCCTGCCTGTTGTTCCCCGTGCTTGTGCTTACTCTTTGTCTTTTTTTCTCTCTCACTCTCTCCATGTCAAATAAATAAATAAAGTCTTTAAAAAAAAAATCTTTAGGGGCACCTGGGTGGCTCAGTGGGTTAAAGCCTCTGACTTCAGCTCAGGTCATGATCCGAGGGTCCTGGGATCGAGCCCCACGTTGGGCTCTCTGCTCTGCAGGGAGCCTGCTTCCTCCTCTCTCTCTCTCTCTCTGCCTGCCTCTCTGCCTACTTGTGATCGCTGTCTGTCAAATAAATAAATAAAATCTTTAAAAAAAAAAAGGCAATAACCTTATTATTAAAAAAAAATCTTTAAAAAAATTATTTTTAAATTTTATTTCACTTCTTTAAGCAGAGTGAGCCCGGTTGTTGCATATTCTGTGTTTAATTTCAACCTCTGAAGTCCTTCAAGATGAGTTTGTGTTGTCTGTTGCTGCCATTGGTTATTTCTCATAAAGTCTAATTTTCCTGTGTGCCTGGTTATTTTTGACTGTGTGCTGCTCATTGTAACCTCAAGTATTTATAGAATAATTTGAGGGTGAGGAAGAAGGTGCCATCTTCCAAAGACTTTATGTTTTCTTCTACTGGGTGTTTAGACATCTAAACCAAGTTGAGGGTCCCTGAAAGACCCAAGTGATTCAAACCAAGCTTTAATTCCATGAAGAGGAATGGTCTGCTTCATCTTTTGCTTTTTTTCCTTTGTACAGAATCTCTCCAATGTCTCAGAATTTCTGTATTAACAAATCTTGTGGAATGACTCCTGGTTCTTGATTTTTGATGGTGATGAAGTACACATTCCTTTCTCTTAGAATTTTGAGTTACACATTCTTAGATCTCAAGGATTTTGGAGTTCAAACCATTCTGAAAACTTTTTAAAAAGATGCATTACTGGGACGCCTGGGTGGCTCAGTTGGTTAAGCGGCTGCCTTCGGCTCGGGTCATGATCCCAACATCCTGGGATGGAGTCCCATATCAGGTTCCTTGCTCAGCGGAGAGCCTGCTTCTCCCTCTGCCTCTGCCTGCCACTGTCTGCCTGTGTTCATTCTCTCTGACAAATAAATAAATAAAATCTTTAAAAAAAAAAAAAAAAGCTGCATTACTTTCTGCTTCCTTTGACTTATGTACCCAAACTAGCATGATAGAGTGGATTAGCAGGATCCCCAAAGGGGAATTGTATGCAAATTACGGAAAGAAAAACAAACAGCCAGATTTTATCCAGTTTCCTTTAAAGGATCAGCCTAGTTTCTACTGTTTGTTTTACCAGACTCCTCTGAACTTTTCATCAAACCAGATCTTTCCTCAGCATTTAAATCATTGCAGTGGATAAATAAATGGCTGCATGAAGCATAGTTGGGTATATTTCTTTCATCCTTTAAGGTTTTTGTGCTGATCAAAGTTAGTGCCTTGGCACTATTCAGTAGGTGTTTTATTGTTGTTGTTGTTTAAATAAGTAGAGTGTCTCATTTGTAGGTGTATTACACTTAATCAAAATCTGGCATTCTTTACTCTAAAGCCAAGTAGCTCACTTATATGTCAGTGAGAAATGAACTTACGTGTCTTTTCCTGGTGACAGCATCATAGGGTTGACTGACTCACTGCTGTACTTTGGGGTGTTGTAACCCACCCCTTTTGCTCTCACTTCTCTCCTACTTCCACGAGCCAAGAAAAGACAATTATTGGGGCACCTGGGTGGCTCAGTCGATTAAGCGTCTGCCTTCAGCTCGGGTCATGATCCTAGAGTCTCTGATTCGAGTCCCGCATCAGGCTCCCTGCTCAGCAGGGAGTTTGCTTCTCCCTCTGACTGTCCGCCTTCTTGTGTTCTGTCTCTTTCACTCTCTCTCTCGAATAAATAAATAAATAAATAAATAAATAAATAAA